AAAAGTGGGTCTCAAAATCATTAAATATCAGTCCCAAAATGAATGTTTTTCTTCCACTGCGCTCGCTCCTTTGAAAATTCGCATCTTACAAACCAAGGCGATTTTTAACTTGCAATTTTTCCCATACTTAGAAGACACTTGACTCTAAACATGGTGAAAGTTTGATAAAAATTGCCAAGAAGTTGGATTTTTGCCAGTTTCGTAAAAGTGGGTCTCAAAATCATTAAATATCAGGCCCAAAATGAATGGTTTTCCTCCACTGCGCTCGCTCCTTTGAAAATTCGCATCTTGCAAACCAAGGCGAATTTTAACTTGAAATTTTTCCCATATTTAGAAGACACTTGACTCTAAACATGGTGAAGATTTGATAAAAAAATCGCGATCTCCAGCAGTTTTTTGGGTTTCGTAAACATCGGTATGATAATGGGCATCACTCAAGTGCGCTCTCGCCTTAAACAATGTGCAACTCTCCCAAACTAAAACAATCTTAACTGTAGATCTTTCTAGTTTCTCTAATAAGCCTCCCACTGTTGGGGTGTGGAAATTTCAAATCGTTGCATGGGGAAATACATTTTCTACAATAACCAAAGGCAGTTCGCAACTTACGGTCTCACTCAACGACGTGATCCAACTTCGGAGAAAACCGGTTCAGAATCGACCTGCCGAATGCTGTTGAAATAAAACGAAAAATTAAAAACGAGAAACCGAAAAAGACAACACGAGAACTGGGTTTGGAACCGCACTACACGTGGACCGTTTTGCGGATGAACATTGTGGTACTCGCGTGCTAAAACTCCCAATGGTACCGGGCCATTTTTCCACGGAAAATCGGGAAACTCATGCCGGCTTTATTCGCCGCATGGCTGTTTCCAAATCTCACCGAAATGATCCAAACTAACTTAACTTAACTAACACAAAACCCGATCCTAAGCAATGTTAGCTTTGGCCTGCCGGTCGCACTCAGTCCTGCGAGTCACGCGTTGTTCGCTTAAGTTTAGATGCGATTAATGTTGTACCAGCAATGTTGCCGCGACTCCTAGAACGGGTACCCCATACTTTAACTAGATTGGTACCAATCTTGCTTTGATATCTCATTGAAGACGAATAGCGCCGTTCCACCGCAGCAAATTCTATTAATACGGAAAGAATGCACATAGCAGATGAAAGCCTAGAGAACCCAAAATTGCTGGTTCCAAACGTTTCTTCCGCGTTAAGCTTCAAAATGAAAACACCATGTTTGTGCAACAGAATTTTTGGCTTCATTTGTCTCCAAATAAAATTTGATTGCGCAGTACTCACCCGACTTGATACGAAGAGGAAGCGGCTCTAGGAGGGATTTCCTTTGACTATGGTACCATCAGTATTGCCAAGTCGCTCGAAAAAAATTGTTGCTGTGGGGACCCTTAAGGATGATGATAATTTAGTGCAGAACGACAAAAGAGACAATTTTCAACGACAATTTTTCAAAAACTTGAGTTTCTGCGAACCGATCGGAACGAACCATGAACATTCTCACCATCACTTGCATACAGCGGGAATAAATTATAATAAATTGGCCGCACAGAAAAGACAGGATGAGATCATTAGACGCACTAACCGGGCTCGTTTAAACGCATCAACCAGCTGAAGATTTTTCTTCAAGACTCGCTACTAATCAGCGCGATGGCATGCAGTTATCAATTAGCTAAAAGTTGACGCAAAACTCACCAATCTGTTCGATTGGATGAGTTTTGAGCAGGCTCTTGAAGTTGCGTTCAAATGGTCCCTAGACAAAGTACCAGAAAAAGTTCAGTCCTCCTTAGAGAAATTTTAATATTGAGACTTGCATCCCCTGCCATCTAGTGCGATGCTGATCAACGTCATTATGTACTTCAGATTTTAGGGAAGGTTGCTTTGCGCTTCTTCAAGAGTCCGCCAAGAGAGGGCAGCACCAAAACTGGATGGGAAAATTTAAAAAAATACGAACGTAAGGCAAAAACTGAAAAACGGCCGGTGTTTTGAGTCTAGGAAAGAGAATGGAACAACGTTCGACCGACTCTGTTAAATATGGTGTTAAAGGCGTTTTAAAAAACGCACATCCACAAGAAAACCCCCCCGATTTGTGAGCCCCCTGGCGTGTTTAGACTGCAGCAGCGCCCCAAAGGGTGGCTTTAAGGGGGCGGAACGTCGGTTAGTGCCCGGGGTATGAATAATGAATACAGTTATCGTTTAGTTCATATTTTTGATGGGGTACGGCAGCGCAAAATGAAATTTGCATTCGTAAAAGATATGGCGAGATCAAAGCCTGCAACCGCCCCCGCCCTTCTTAATGCCCGACGCAGTTTTGTTAGGCGATTCTACGTTTGCTTCGTCTTTTCGTCCCTTTTTTCGTTTTATCAAGCTGCTGTTGCTCAACTCGGAGCGATTTTAATCACTGCCTTTAGGGCAGCAGGAATTTTGCATTTTATCGGCTCCACCCTCATCCACGGGGGATTTATTTAATTTTGTTGAAATTAGTCTCTTTACTCGCCTGATTGGATAAACCGAGCGCGATACGCGAATGTTTTTCGTTACTCAAAGGAGTTCTCCAAAATTTGCATTCAAGAGTCGCGTTTTAGAGGAAACCTCAGCAAATATTACATCGGAAGTGAACAAAGTTTCAACAATTCAAAACCCAAAAGGAATTTTAAAAAAATCGGTCCAAGTTGTGCAGCATTAAACTACAGTAAAGTCCGCTTATAGAGAACTTTCGGTTAAAACGAACTTTTTGCCTTTAATTGAAACGTCGTCCATAAGGACCAACGCATTTTTTTACTGGTTATCACGACCCGTTTGTAACGAACTTGCGGATATAACGATCACTTTTTAGGTTAGTTGTAAATTCACTTTCCGTTTATAACGAACTTCCACGCTCAGCAACACCAATCGTGCGGAGTTTTTTATATTAGTGAGAGCGAGAGACAGGCAGTGAGTTGTTGTTTTTTGCCGCGTTATGTTTGTAAATCGTTTTAGAATGGAAAAACAAAAACGCAAAGCTTTTTCACTAAATGAAAAGTACGAGACTATTAACAAAATAAAAAGTTGAGTAAAGCAGAGTGACATTTGTAAGGAATTAGCTCTTGGAAAGTCTACTGTTGCAACAGTATGGAAAAACCGAGAAAACATTTTATCAGCGTATGAAAAAACAAATGTTAGATGTAGGAAGTTAAAATTATCTGCACATGAAAAATTGACAAGGGACTTGTTAAGTGGTTTACTCAAAAAAGACAAGAAAACGTTCCCATAAGTGGCAGTGCTTTGCAAGAAAATGCTAGTGAAATGGGGAGTAAAATCAAAAACAAAGAGTTTGCTTGCTCTAAAAGTTGGGAAAAGCGTTTCAAGAAGAGGCATAATATCAGTAGCGGAAAAATTGTTGGAGAGCCTGCCGGTGAAAAATTCTTCGTATGAAACCGTTAGAGGCGATCAATAAAAATGAAACATTCTCTATAAATCTCTTAGATGCAGTCAATTTCATTCATAGAGCTTGGCAAAAAGTTAGCCGAAAATCCATTGCAAATTGCTTTAAGCATGGGGGATTTGTAAGAAAAGAAAATGATTATGAACCAGACGATGAAATTCCACTTAACGAATGGTTAGAAAAGAATAAAAACTCTGACTACGAGTATGAGACAGACGAAGATGTCCCAATGTTGTCGAAGAACAAGTTAAAACCAAATTGAGTGATTTTAATTGCTTCGAATATGTGAGCATTGATGATGGCATTCTTACAAGAGAAATGTTGACTGATGAGCAAATTATAGAAACGTATTCTACTATAGACACTAATGCTCTTCCAACGATTTCTGAAATGACAAAAAAAGTGTCAGAAACTGGGAATTTTCTACAATCACGCCAAGTTCCTAATCATATCTGGGAGTCCTTTTGTGATCTTGAAAACTACATAAAT